ATTCCACATGGTATGCCACAGCAAAAGAAGTGCAGCAATGGACCCATGCTCATGGAATTCACTTGTTTACCATGTTCCCACCATCCTGAAGCAGCTGGTTTAAGAGAACGGTGGAATGGTCTTTTGAAGGTACAGTTACAGCACTAGCTAAGTGGCAGTACCTTGTAGGGCTGGGCAAGTTTCTTCAAAAGGCTGTCTATACTCTGAATTAGTGTCTAGTATATGTCCAATATCTGTATCTCTCAAAATCAGGATTCATAGGTTCATAAATTAAGGGGTAAAAATCGGAGTGTCACACCTCACTATTACCCCTAGTGAATAAAGAAAGAATGTCTGTTCTCACTGCTCTTATTCAATATAGTACTGGAAGTTCTAGCCAGCACAAAAAGCAAGAAAGGCAATAAAAGGCAAATAGATTGGAAAAGAATAAAACTCCCCAATTTGCAAATGACATGATGGTCTACATGGAAAACCCCAAGGAATCTACCAAAAATCTTCTATAACTAGTGACTTCAGCAAAGTAGTAGGATGTAACACCAACAGACAACTTGACTGTATTTCCATAAACTATCAGTAAACATGTGGCAACTGAAATGCAACACCATGTTTCATCAATTAAGTATAAATCTAAAAACAAATGCATGAGACTATATGCTGAAGATTACAAAATGCTAAGGAAGAAAAACAAAAACCTAAATAAATGAGAAATATACTATGTTCATGGATTGGGAAACTCAACGTAGTAAAGATGTCAGTTCTCCCCACTTCATAAACAGGTTTAAATACAATTCTTATCAAAATCCCAGTAAAAAATTTTTTGCAGGTATAGACAATCTTACTCTGTAATTTATATGGAAAGGCAAATGATCTAGAATAGCTAAACAATTCTGAAAAAAGAATAAAGTGGGAAGAATCACTCTACTCAATTTTAAGATTCTGCTAGGACACAGAGCCATGGAACAAAACAGAGGCCCCAAAAATAAGCTCACTTGAAAATGCCCAATTCATTTCTCACACTGTTAAGAAAGCAATTCAGTGGTGTAGAAACAGTATTTTTACAAGTGGTATTGGTACAAAAGGACACATATAGGCAAAAAAACCCCACCAAACCCTGACTTAAGTCTCAAACCTTATATGAAAATTAACTCAAAATATATCATTAATTTAAAAGTAAAATCTAAAACTATAAAACTTCTATAAAAAAACAAAGGAGAAAAATCTTCATGACCTAAGAGTAGGCAAGGAGTTCTTAGACAGGATACCAAAAGCACAGCCATAAAAGAAAAAAACTGATTAAATAGGACTGATTTATTAGAGATAAATTTTTATTCAGTTTGCCAATTTGTTCTAAAATATATTTTATTATGTATTTGCCATTTTGTTTTCTAATATTTGATGTGGAGAAAGGGGAACCATCCTACACTGCTAGTGGGAATGTAAACTAGTTCAACCACTGTGGAAAACAGTATGGAGGTTCCTCAAAAAACTAAAAAATATTTCATTTCAACTTTACTCCTTCATTAATTACTGTAAGCTCATGTACACTAAGCACTTTTATTCCCATTACACTGGAGAAAAAGATTCAGAGAAATTAATCAATTTGTTCATGGTAAATGGAAAAACCTCAGTTTGAATCTAGATAGTCCTGTCTTTAGGTCCTGTACTTATTTAACATCACCACACTACCTCTAAAATCAAGAAAATAAATCTGAACTCTTATATGCCACTTGTGGAAATGTAAATTAGAACCACAACTTGGGAGATTAAATTCTCACATTATCAAATAAGGCTAAAGATGCACAAAAGCTACCTTGGTGTAAACACAGCAAGACGATTTAGATGGAAACATACTCCTTGCCCTATCTCCTTAATAGCCGTCATTCTGAGTATGCTCATCAAGCAGCACACAAGCATGCAGTAACCTTCCACAGAGTTGTCTACAGAGGTGTCTCCAACACCTCTCTTCCCATTCTCTATGTAAGTTCTCCAGTATAGTTTTAATTTCCATCAATTCACTAAAACAGCACTTTATTATGATCATTATTGACTCCTATACTATCAAATTTAAAAGTAAATGATCACATCAGAGAAATGCAAATTAAAACGACAAAGAGATATCACTTCACACCATTTAGGATGTCCAACATCCAAAAGACAAACAACAACAAATGCTGGCGAGGATGTGAAGAAAGGGGAACCCTCCTACACTACTAGTGGGAATGTAAACTAGTTCAACCATTGTGGAAAACAGTATGGAGGTTCCTCAAAAAACTAAAAATAGAAATACCATTTGATCCAGGAATTCCACTCCTAGGAATTAACTCTAAGAATGCAGGAGCCCAGTTTCAAAAAGACATATGCACCTCAATGTTTATTGCTGCACTACTTACAAGAGCCAAGAAATGGAAGCAACCTAAGTGTCCATCAGTAGATGAATGGATGAAGAAGATGTGGTACATATACACAATGGAATATTATTCAGTCATAAGAAGAAAACAAATTCTACCATTTGCAACAACATGGATGAAGCTAGAGGGTATTATGCTCAGTGAAATAAGCTGGGCAGAGAAAGACAAGTATCAAATGATTTCACTTATCTGTGGAGTATAACAACTAAACAAAAACTGAAGGAACAAAACAGCAGCAGACCCACAGAACCCAAGAATGGACTAACAGTTACCAAAGGAAAGGGACTGGGGAGGGTGGGTGGGAACGGAGAGATAAGGGGGAAAATGGGGCATTATGATTAGCACACATAATGTAGGGAGCGGGGGACATGGGAAAGGCAGTATATACAGAGAAGACAAGTAATGATTCTATAGCACTTTACTATGCTGATGGACAGTGACAGTAATGGGGTATGGGGGGGCTTGATAATGGGGAGTCTAGTAACCATAATGTTGTTCAAGTAATTGTACATTAATGATATCAAAAAAAAAAAAAAGGACTCATGAGCCAACATAAAGGAATTTATAATGACCAAAGCTAGAACAATTTCGGAAACAATATGAAAATGTTATTCTATAGATTAAACCTATGAATTAATCTCATGAGTCTGTATTAATGCAAATAAATAATCGAATATATAATACATAATTTAAAAAAATTAGCCCAGCTACTTGAACAGCCCATTCCTAAAAGAAGATACATAAATGGTCAGTAAGGACATGAAAATTTTGCTTAATATTACTATTAGTCAGGGAAATATCCTGGGTTGTGAGTATATATGACTCATGTCACATATGTGAGTATATGTGACAATAAACTGCTGTTGAGCTTGAAAAAAAAAAAGTAAATGTTCAGTCCTCACCTAACCTGACACATCATCATGACTAAATTAATTACTCTTACATTATTCCTTTGGCCTTCAGGATCTCTCTCTTGCTCCTGGTTCCCACCTACCTTACTAGAAATTCATTTTCTGCTTCTCTTCCTGGTTCTTCCTCATCTTCCTTACCCTAAAGTTCAGATACTCCAGGGCTCAATCTTCAGATATCTTCTCTTTTCCAGCTAGACTGATATCCCTGATGATCTCAATTGGGACCATGACTCTATGTATTATCTTTATGCTAATGATTCCTCAAACTTTTAGCTCTGACTTAAATGTTCTCCCAAACTCCACTCAACTTCTCCACCCTCATGTTTAGGCAGCATCTCAGGTTAATATTTAATATGTCTAAAACCTAACTCTTGCTTTTCACTACCATCACCTCAACCTACTTTTCATTTTTTTTTAAATCTAATTAACAGTGCCTATATTAGTTACTTAAGACAAGAACCTCCAAAATTATCTTAGCTTCTTCTCTAACATCCCTGTCTAATCATAGCAAATAATGTCATCTCTTCCTTCCAAACATAACCAGAATCTGTCCATTCTTCATCATCCCCTCTGCTACCACCCGAATCCACGACATCATTATCTCTTCACATTATGAGGAAACAATAATGCTCTCAGCCATTTTCCATTTTTTTAGGTAAGGGCTACTTACACCACCACCTTTAAAGGTCATTAGCTCTAAAAGGAGGGACAAAGCAAAGCAACTGGAGCTAAAAAACTGGCCACTCTATACTATATATGCATTAGGCTTCCATGAAAAGAGATGACATAAGGTGGTAGGGGAGAGTATTGATGTATCTTTATTATTCAGCCTGGCACAGCAGGGTAGACCATAGGTGGACATTCAGAAAAGTGGCTGTAGCCAAGATGGTAACCAAGATGGTACATCTGGCACATATTCAGCAGGGGAACTTCCTACAAAACATCTTGAAGACTAGACAGACTCTACACTGAATCAAGTAAAGAAGACTCTTATCATCTGGCATAGCTGGCATCTCAACATTTATAAAACCCATATGATTTTTTCCAACATGTAAAAAAGTAACTGTTTGAGACCCTGCACAAGTTACTTAATCTGATATTGGGCAAGTCACTAGACAGACTGAAATATATGATAATGAAGAAATCTTACAGTTCAATAATGGGTACTTATATTAGGAGTAAAATTATTTTAGATGGTAGATTTTTTAAAAAGTCTAGAACTCAAAATTCCTGAAGATGTCTAAGACAGATTCCTTCTGAAGGGTTAACATGGAGGGTCTCTCATAAAATATCCCTAATGCCAATGCCACAAAGATAGAATATAGGCAGATTATTACCTGAACCTAATGTGACATTCCAATCAACAAAATTATGGTAAGGACTCCAATCTTGACTCGAGAAACCAATTGTGTTAGTTTTACCATTTAATATATGACTTTGAATCAGAAAAGCTTTAGGAATTCTTACAGCTGTAAAATCACATGACTATGATTTTTTTTTTTGAGTATGTACAACATCTTAGAGCCTAAGATAGCTGCTGTGATGGATACATGTAACTACAAATAGTGAAAGTACTGATATTCTTGTTTTAGAATTGAAATGAATGGAATGTCACCTAAATATTCCTATACCTTTATCAGGTACAATGAAAATACCCTGAAAAAGCAAATTAAGCATGTACCTTTCAGTGCTGTAGTCTTTTCTTTTTCATCTGGACCTCCCTGCAGGATTTGTGCCATGCTTATCCAAATTGGCAACAAAATTAAAGAACTCAAGGAAATAGACATCAATCTTCAGAAGACAGTCTAGAATGAATGAAAGCAATAAATTAAGCTCTACTCAGTCCTACCTACTCCATGACAACTTGCGAGTTCCTCCCAGTTGGGATTAATCTATCCTCATTTTCCACTGAACTTTGTCGATAGTTATACCATAGTACTTATCATAGCCTGCCTTACATTATAGTTATTTATGTATTTGTCTGGGTCAGCTAACAGATTACAAGCCCAAGGATAAAGGTTTCAAGTGTTTGTCATCTTTATATCTCTCATGTCACCAAACAATATCTTATACAGATACCTAATGATGCTGAATTGAATTTAGCTAACTTACTATTTAAGTTCTCTAATACCTAATCTAAAAAAAAATCTCCAAGTAATTTCAAAAACTTGAAATTTCTTTTAAAATAAACAGTGAGCATATGCCATTTATATCAGAATGTATTCCTCCTGGAACATACAGACAGTCCGGAGAAAAAGACATAAATACATAAAGCAGCTATAAATTACCTCTACTGTAATTCAAAGTACAACTTTAAGGGAAAAAATTAGCCCTTTTAAAAATGACACTATGTCAAATTCAATGTCTGGAAGCCATACTCTATAAATGCCTCTCTAGTAAACAATCATAATACAAAATTATGTATTAAAATCTAATTCTGCTCTACTTTGGCCAAAGGGAAGGCACTTAAGTTATAAATAGGTGGCTTTTCCCCAGGTGCCCATGAACAGTACAAAACCCACTATTTCTAAAGTTTAAAAAGAAGAAAGGATAACACACCAGAAAAAAACATTAAACTAATTTAGTCAATCCATAACTGTTAACTAAATTATTTTTTAAGACCTACAGTCATGACAATAATAAAACATGACTGAATATTCCTCCAATTCAGGAACCTAATCGAATTGCTACCCACAAAGCAGACTTCAGTTTCCATTCAGAGGTACATTTTATAACTATCTTTAAAAACTGAGGCATTTTCATAATCAGCAGAGTGTAGCATAAAATACTTTAAAAACCTGATACTGAAAATAATATTTTTATAATAATAATAATAATAATAATAATAACAATAATAATAAGGGATAAATGTGGGATTCACATACAAATCAAGTATAAAAATCAAACAAATATTCATATTTGACCTGATTGTTTATAATGCGTGATCAAAACCGAAAGTTTCTGTGATGACTGCCCTTGTACTGTTCACCATGTAAGAACTTATTCACTATGTAAGAATTTGTACACCATGTAAGAACTTGTTCATTGTGCTTCAGAAGATCCGAGATTGATGAGAATTAGGCTTAGGGTGGATTAATGATTGTGCATTCAGTCCCCTGTACAGAATTTCATTGTTGTTAACTGTTAATAACCATTTGATCAATAAATATAAGAGATGCTCTCTCAAAAAAATAATAATAATAATATTTTTAAACTATGAATGTTACAAATGGTTATAAATCAATGCTGCCCCTTTCTCAGTTCTAGCTATAGGTGGGATACTACAAAAGGAAGGGCCTTCTGGCTCTATCACTACCCATGTGCCCTTGGCAAATTATTTACCTTCCCTGTCCTCATCTGTCACATTTATAAAATGCAAATGATAATCATGCCTTCCTCATGGTGTTATAGTGAGGAAAACATTTAATGAGTGTTCAACATATGTAAGCTTATATTTTTTAATTGCTGTAAATGTATCCTAGCTTCAACACTTAATAATAACTCTGGGCCAGGGACAAGTCACTTAATATCCAAAATCTTTAGTTTCCTCATTTATAAAAGGTAGTTCATATAATAGTGGTTGAGAACTGCTATTACAGAAGGTGTGTATAGCTGATCATTGCTATCAACCAGAATATGAGAATATTTTTGACTAGGAAAGCATTTTCACTGAGCATAGTAGTGGTTGTTATTTTTCTTCTGTGAATAGGTAATTCTGCAAGAATAAAATGTGTCTATATTCTTTCAAGAAACATATCCTAGTCTATATATGGTGGGCAGTATGCAAGATACCAGGGTAAAAAGATGAGTAAAACAGATATGGCCATGGCCCAGTTGGGGACTTATTCTCTAGCTACCAAATCAAACTGCCAAATTAGCCACAAATAAACTATATAAGATCTAGACTGATAATTACAACACTATTATAAAAAAAGCAATATTTATAAGGGCTATCTATTTATATGTAGGAATTACTCTAATCTGTCAAGTTCCTACAAGTCTGTACAAGTTTTACCAGCAGCCCCATTATACACTATCCTGCAGCAGAAATTAAAGAGAAATGTTCATAATGAAAGACTCTGCACAGTGCTCTTTACTAATAATTCCACAACTAAAATAACTATCTACAGAGGACTTCTTGCATTTTTTCATTCCATCTCTCAGCCAATTCAGTATTTCTTATGAATACAAACTGTTAGGTTATTTTTCACTGGCCCCAAATTCATTTCTAAACAAAACAATTTATATGATTATTTCACTGTTATTGTTTAACAAAGGTAAAATTATAAAATATTTTTGGTATTAGAGTCATTTTCAAGATTCATATTTTAAAGTTCTGTGGATCTAATGCACAGCATGATGGCTACAGTTAAAAATACTGTATTATATACTTGAAAGTTGCTAAGAGAGTACATCTTAAAAGTTCTCACCACACACACACAAAGATAACTGTGAGGTGATGGATAAGTTAACTGACCTTGTGGTCATCATTTTGCAATATACACGTATGTCAAATCATCATAAGCTTACATCTTAAACTTACATACTGTTATATATCAATTACATCTCAACAAAGCTTGAAAAAAAACTCAAATACAATGTTTAATAACACATTCCCCCTTTAGATTTTTACGTCTATGAGCACAGGTATCATGTCTGCCCCTAGTACTGTGTCTGGCACATTTGGAGCTCAATGATACTTCTCAAATTTTCAAATAAACAAGTGAAATATTGAGGGAAAAGAAAATTCACATTTTAAAGAATCATTTAAAACTTCCAAAGATTAAATATTAATCAACAATCATATTTTTAATTTATACGAGACAACAAAATATATATCACAATTCACTGAAGTAATGACATATAAATTAGGAGATTACTAATAACTATCTGTAGCCCTAAACCTTCTAGCAGCAGATGCAAAGCAGGTAAGCATGAAGCAAAAGCAATTTGTCTGTTGCTCTCTTATCTACTGTTAGATTTTTACCCTCTCAAGTTATTTTCTATAGCTGTGGCACAGCTGGTGAAGCTAAATCAGGAACATTATAAATTCTCAATTTAGTTTTCCTAATAAAAATTCAGTTATAACCTGCATGACCACAGATAAACAGTACTGAAAATGCAGCCAGCAAGCGGTTTGAAACATTTGATATATATTAATATGTGCACTCAACATAGTTTATTTAGCATTATCTGATGGAGGTTAGGTTATAGGGAATAAAGTGGTGGAAGATTTTTACTGATGTGAACTGGGACATAGTTGACATGTTGTATACTTCAAGATAACCACTGCTGTTTAAATATGGTTTCCTAGAAATGGTTGCAGTATAAACTAGATTCAAAACATCTCAGTTTGCGATTTCATTCTGTGAACTACACAAAGCAATTATCATATCTTCTTCCCTGCTATGATTCCAACAGAGAATCCAGTATGTATAAATAAAGCTATAAATAACTTGTCATGTGTAATCTTTATCTAGTCAGCATTTCAAAACATGAAACAGTAGAATATTCTTTAGTTGCTCTGTTTGCTCTAAATACGGCAGGAACACTCATAAAATGCACAGAAACATACACAGAAGTCTTAGTTTTCTATGTCTGTCTGCTTTTAGGAAGGTATTAAATAGGAACTAGATACAGAAGACTTAGCAAGAGTAGGACTTTCCACATCACATTCTCAATGCAGTGATGAAAATACAAAATATATCACAAGACAAAATTGTGTTAATTCTCTGGAACTCTTGAAGCTGGTTTGGTCTTAAAGTATCTATGGCTCACTAAGTCAGGCTCTGGAAAGTCAGCTCACAATAGCCTACTTGCAATCAAAAGTACAGTTAAGTGAATTGGTAAGGAAGTATAGTAAGCCAGATTTGCGAGGAAACAAAAGACCCACCCAAATTACAGTGAAAATATCCATGTTATTCAGAAGTTACATCAGAAAAGCTTAGTCCTTAATAATCCTGGACAGCTTACAGTCTGGAAGCTGCAGTGTGAAAAATGTATATGTTGGAGTGTGTGTGTATACACAGATACACGAGCACTGGAAAGAGGCTGGAGAACAAGAGCATCGACTGGAGAAAACATGGAAGATAAGGCAGGGTCATACGGGCTTTTCATGCTCTCGATATGGCAGCTTCTACAGAGAATGCAATCTACGTTTGGATCAAGGTTTAGCTCAGACTAGGAATACCTGGTTCCAATTCAAACCTATCTAAAATAATTACTTATTTTCCCAAGCAATGTGATATAGTAGGCTAGAATGAGAATTCCAGGTCTTTACTCTCAATTCCACCACCTAGGAGCTGAGTGACCTTGAGAAAGTCCACAACTTCTCTAACTTAAGTGATGGGAATAACAAAGAAAATAAGAACACTTCCCTTCATGGGGCAATTATGAAGATTATATGAAAGAATGTATACAAAAATATTTTGCAAACTATAAATTCCTTTATAAATATTAGTATTCTCACAATATCAGAAATAACTGAGACAAATTCCAACTAATTTGTGCTCAAACCCAAGAAAGAATCCAAATCAATCCAGTTTACAGAATGAGAAACTTTTGATATGCATCATGCAGATGAATTCTAAGAACAAATAATAAAGCCTCACAATAAATACCTGTTGAGTTCACTTGGGTTTCCAAGACTAAGACTACACTGAAGATAATTTAATGGAATTTATATGAACTTTTTAATATAATTTGTTTATATTCTTTTCTAATTCTATTAAGATGTATGTCTGGAAAATGTTAAGTATGTGAGTTCCTTCATTTAACTTAAGGTTCTGTCCAAAGAACACGGTTC